TAGCTCCTAGCCCCATTCACCCATTGTTCTATGGTGTTTATTACAGATTCATATAAACTATTGGAAATTGATGCTCTTAAGATGTGCATGTCAGCTGTGGGACATACAATTGTGCTTGCTCCATGTCAGATCCTGCATTTCTGATTTGATCTCCATCTTCCCAGGCAAGGGAAAAGGAGGGGGGAAAACTCATTCCTTTTGTTGGCCAGAGGAGCATGGTAGTTTTGACCAACTTTAGTTTGGGATTCCAGTTTACTAAGGAAAAAAGGTTTCTTGGAGAAGGTGCTGAGGTTGGCCATGGGTATAGAAAATTCTTAGTTGTTTCATCTGTTTATCTGTTATTCTATTGAGTTAATTAAAGGCGAGAATTAATGATTGAACCATTGTGCTCCTTTTAGATGGACATCAGAGTATTTTTTTATACATGTACTACATTCCAAGTTGCACAATATGTTTGTTGAAAGATTGCATTTTTGTGAATATAAAGGAATTTTCCTCATAGAGCATTACAAGAATTCATAATTTTTTGCCAGCATTGTAATGGAGTATTAACAGTAATATACATTTCTGGTGATGAAAAGTATCCTGGTTTTTTACTTCAATGTTTGGCATCAGCAAATGCTGGAAGATTTATATCTGTTTACAAATCATTAATTTTCACAAATATAAATATGAAACTTAAGTATTAATTGTCTGTGGGGTCATGTTACAAAAGAACTCTGAAGGTTGAGACTTGAGAGTTCAAAGTTGATTGGAAGGGGTTGCTGAGTAACCATCATGAAAACCTCATAAGTTTGCTGGATTCTAATTTTCTTGGTAGTTAACTTTGGAAATCCCCAGATTCCACTAGAAAATAGATGGTACTCCAGGAATTAAGATGCAGGGATTAGATTGTGGCTATTCTGGACTCATCTATTTGAAGGGATTAAGTTTTTCAGAGGGTTCAGATTTGTTCTGGAAGGTAAATGCTTTTGACGGGAAGTTGTCATGTTTCCTTGTGAAATGAAAAATAGGGAGACATCGGGTTTATTCAGGGGTTTTAGTTCTCAAGGATGGTCTTTATTTTCCACGGAATCCAGAATCTGTGAGGGTTTGTGATGCTGGATCAATAGATGAATGGCTAAAATATTTTTCTTAGATGAGGGGTTGTGAGGTGTAGCAGGGCTAAACTTAGATGAGGGGGAGGTAGAAGCAGTCGTGAAGACTCTAGGTTGTCAAACTAGTGAGTGGCCGTTGAAGTACTTAGGTATGCCTTTGGGGGGAAATCCAAGGAGTGTGAATTTTTGGACTCCAATTGTAGAAAGGTTTGGAAAGAGATTAGCAGCTTGGAAGCAGAATTACGTCTCTTAGGTGGTAGGTTAACCTTGATCAAGTCCACCTTGGCAAACCTTCCAGTGTATTACCTCTTTGTCTTTAAGACCCCCTAGCTAACTTGTTGGAAAAGGTAATGAGGGATTTTCTTTGGGAACCTAGAGAGGAAAAGAGGGATCATCTGGTGAAGTGGGAAGTAGTGGTCAGGAGTAAGGAGGAAGGTGGGTTAAGGGTGGAGAACATGATTTTATAAGAATCAAGCATTGCTAGGGAAATGCTTGTGGAGATTCCCTTTGGAGAGTGAGAAACTGTGGCACAAGGTAATAGCTAACATGGACTGTTGCAAAATGGCTGAGATGCTGGAGTCTCAAATTGAGCTACTCTTTCCTCTCCTTGGAAAGCAATTCATGCAGTTCTTCCTTGCTTCCTGAAGCAAATCAGGTATGATTCTTATTCAGGGTCTAAAATTCGGTTTTGGGAAGACCTTTGGGTGGGTGATTCTACTCTTAAAAACTGCTTTCCCATTTTTATATTCGTTATCTTTGTTTAAAAAATGAGCCAATTTCTTCTTTCCATTCCATTTCTGAGGGAGTGTCTTGGAATTTGGGTTTTAGAAGAGGTTTAAGAGAGGCTGAATGTGCACCAATCTCTGAGCTGCTGCTCATCCTTGATTCAATTGTTATGTTCCCCTCCACCCCATATGAAAGAATTTGGATCCCAGACCTAAAGGTTCTTTTTCTTGTGCCTCCTTTTTTCATTCCTTGATTGCTCAAGCTCCTTTAGGGCCTTTCCAGTGAGTGAGGTTCGGTGCAAACCAATCCCCTTAAAAGTAGAGACTTTTTGTTGGGAGGTTTATCATGGAAAAATCAACACCTTGGACATGCTGCAAAAGAGAAGAAAAAATGTTTGTTTATCCCCTAACTGGTGCACACTTTGTAAGGCAAATGGTGAGACTGCTTTTCACATTCTAATTTCCTGTCTGTTTGTAACTTGTATTTGGGAGTGGTTCTTTGACCTCTTTGGGTGCAGGTGGACTCTACCTACAAGCTTACCTAGTCTGTTTGCAGGTGAAATTTTTAGGTGGCCAAGGAAAAGAGGAAGAATTTTATGGAAATGCACTAGGGCCGCTATCATTTGGACAGTGTGGGAAGAAAGAAATGCGAGACTCCTCAAAGTTGAGGAGAGAAACCTGGAAGCAGTTTTAGACTATATCCTCCTAAGGGTGATTCACTGGGTTAAGACCTTCGATCTGTTCTCTCCATTTTCCTTTGATGACATAAAAAGGAATTGGAGGGAAGTGGCCTTTTCAGCTACAAGAAAGACTAGAAGAGTTCAGCTTTGGGAACCACCATCAGAAAGCTTTGTAGAACTTAATTTTGATGGAAGCTGTTTTGGCAACCCAAGCACTTAAGGCATAGAGGGATATCTAGGGATAAAGATGGAACTATCTTAGCTTTATTTTTGGGTCCTATTGCCCAAGAAGATTCAACTAAGGCTGAATTGTCTGCTGTATTGTACGGGGTCCAATTAGCAGAAAATCTAAATTTAAGAAGGCTGTTAATAGAAGGAGACTCCCTAGTAGTGGTAAGTTGGTTAAAGAATGAAAAGAAGGCAGCTTGGAGCTACCGAGATTTGGTAAAGAAGATCAAGTGGCATCTGAGAGGTGTAACAGTAACTTTTCAATGGATTCCAAGGGTTGCTAATGGGGTGGCAGACCCTCTAGCAAGACAAGGGGTTGAAAGGGAACAGTTATTTTGGGCCAAGTTGTTTTAAGGTGTGAGTGTGCAACTGCTCCTGTGGGTAAGGGAAGGGCAGGGAGTTTTGTATGTAAATGGGTAGGGAGTGTCCGTATTGGTTTCTGTTGTTGCATCTGCTTTTAGGGGTACCATGTATATGCTTGTTTATATTAATGAAATACTTTCTGTTATCTATCAAAAAAAAAAAAACTTAGAAATTCATGATGAGGCTTCTTTGAAAATTTCAGGGGAAAACAAGGGTTGGTATGGTAGGTTCAAGATGGCTTTTAAAGCTAAAATTGAAACAGCAGGTTGCTGTAAGCAAATCAACCTAAAGGAGAAACTTAGGCTCTGTTTGTTTGCGGTCCAAATCTGAACTGGATATAAATTTTGTACCAGTTTTAGTTTTGCATCTATTTGCTTGTGAATGATCTGTACTTCTCCTGGTGTAAAATTTGCATCACCTTCCTCCTATCTTAATTCTCTCTTATATAAAGTGGGGACAACATCATTTTGCTTCTTACTTTAACCCTAAACAAATAATCTTTCTCTTGTTTCCATTCTTTCTCATATAAAGTGGGGATTACATGATTTTACTTCCTATTGTACTTCTCACATACAAGGTAAGGTCAAATCTGAAGCAATAGTAAACCAGAAATTTACACCAATGCAAATCACCAGAAACAAACAGAGCCTTAACAAAAGAAGAATAAGAAAAGAAATAACGGTATGGGATAATTCAGCAATGAAGAAAGAAAAATGCAATAGAAGTAACACATCTAAAAAATAATACATCAAATTAGTTTCAAGTATCTGCTGTAATTTAAAGACAAGTCCTACTGTAGTCAGCACCACTAGGTTTCTCTAGAAATCAGTGCCTGGAGATTGAGTCAACATTTTCATTAGTTCAGAGTAGGGCTGTCAATGGACCAGACATTGGTCCAATCCGAGCCGGTCCAGTATAAGTCCATTACAGATGGGCCAGGTCCAATCCCATCCGATGAATACTTTGGATCATTCTGGACTGGTCCAATTCAATGTCTGGACCGTCCAAACTGTTTGAATTGATTTTAATTTAGATCGGGTCCAACCCAAACCTGGTCCATTGCACCGGTACTCTCTATCTTATGTCAAAGGACTGGATATTGGTTCAATCCAACCCAGTCCAATATAAATCCATTACAAATGGACTACGCCCAATCCAATCCAATAAATACTTTGGACCATCAAGTCTAGACTGGTCCAATTGTCTTATTAGTCCATTCAATCTGTTCAAATTGATTTTGATTGACAGGCTCCAACCCAAATTTGGTCCATTGACACCCCTAATTCAGAGTCGATGCCAAATGCATCAATAGAAAAACTTTTCATTCATTTATTTAATGGCTCAAATGTGCTAATACATGGAACATTTGTAGAGGAACAAAATGAATCTTATAAGATCTACAAGATATCAGATTTCCCTAATCATAAAAGGAACTAAAAATACTTACAATAAAAAACATATTTAAAATATATCGTATCTTTGAAGTAAATATTAAGGATTAACCAGTTGTTTTTTATTGGCAATTGTCCACTTTGTTAATTAGTTATAAAAAATATAGGAATATTTACAAAGATGATATATGTCACTTAAATTGGGCTCTGGCATCCATGCCAGCTACCTTCTCTCAAAATGTGTGTACAATGCTGTGATCTTACTTTTCGTTTCTTATCCAGTCTACAGTGACACGAGAATCACCTTCCATATAATGTTTCTGTAATTTGACAACTTTCCTAGCTTTAAGCCTTGATGTATTGCTAGCTGTTCAGCTTTGGTTGAGTCACCTTTACTTATAGGTCCTGAGTACAGAACTATATCACACCATTGCTGTTCCTTAACACTCTTCCTATTCCTGACCTCCCTGGTTAGCCCATACTGTTTTTATTGAAGTTTAGCTTTATCTGATGCAGATATGGAGGTGACCAAGATGGAGACACTATGTCCTTGCTGAAGAAGGAACAGAATATTGGTAGTGTCTTGAACCGATGGAACACTTATCAAAGATATTTCACCATATATTTAGAATAGGTGGGTCCACCCATTAGTCAACATATGTTTAGAATCAAATCAAAGACATAGTTGGGAGAGTCAAATCCAAATCATATGGGGGTTCTCTCGAATTGACAGCTAGCTTGCTGGGCTTTTTGGAATCGGCTGAAGTTTGTGGACCTTGGGCACGACTTAGTGACATTACACTAAGGCCCCGTTCGCTTTTCGGTAAGTTATTTATTTGGGTAAATTTTATTTCTAATGTAAATAAGGCAATGGCCATTTTAGCCATAAAAATCCATTATTAAAAGGGACATTTTTTTGTCCCATTCAAGTGTTGGCAATTTTCCCCCTCTCAAAATCCAAAAAAAGAATGCTCCCTACTTTTTAGATGTGTGGAGCTGAGCTGGATTTGTGGAAAATTCTATTGCTTGTCTATTGGGACAAACACATGAAGGATTCCCTTTTCTTACATTTTTGGCCCCGCATTAAATGCTTTGGCAAGAAAATATATGATTTGTTGGTAATGCAATAAAATATATCTTTAGTTTATCTTCTTCTTCTTCTTCTTCTTTTTTTTTTTTTTAACTTATATCCTAAAGTACTTTCCAGGATGGAAGGTGACGAGGATTGTTTTCACTGCTAGAGCATTTGTGAATTTAATTTCTGACCTGTATAGAAGGACAAGTGGTTCAATTAATAAATTGTTTAATCATAGTTTTAGATTTTCCTCGGTTCTGTTTGATAAGTTTTTAAGCAGGATCATAAATCTATTGAGTGGATTTGATAGCGATCTATGGGAAACTGTTCTTCTACCATAGTTTACAATGACTCTTGTTTGCCAATGAAGATACAGTTACTTGTTCTCATAGAGCTTTGGTTGTAGTTGGCTGCATTGCAAAGATGACTTGAGAATTATAGAATTGTGCAATTTTTTTTTGTAAATGCAGAGATCTATGTCTGAATTGACAGAGGTTTTTGAGTTAATGTTGCTACCTATCAGCATTATAAATTGTTTGAGCAGTAGATCTGAAGCTGGGCCTAGCAAGTGATGCTGAGTAAACACTTGATATTTCTAACAATTGAGTTTAATTATTTCTGAAAAACACATCTTAATCTTAATTTGGATGTCTTACAGACAGTAAAACACTGGCCTTGTGAGATTATAAAGAATCATTCGACCTAAACTAATGCTTCATGTTAAAACTAAATCTTAGGCCCACCAAACTTGTGAGAACAAATAAGACCATGGGCTATATAGCGCAGATCAGCTTGACTGTAAAAGTTGTTTTTCATGTGTCTTTCTATGTTTCTTGTTTGTAACACGGAAAAAAAAATTATAGGAGGAAATACAAGGAAAGAAGATGGGTAATTTCTCCATTTTCTAGAGAGAGAGTCTACATGTGATATGTCGAGGATGGGTCAGTTGTGGGGCTCGCGTTGAAAGTGGAATACACAAGAGCAGGATATCCATGTTTGAGCAGTAGGAAGCAAGAAATGTGGTGTAAGATATTTGGGGGGGGAACAAGGGTTTCCAATTAGATACGTTGTGCTTTCTCTTGATTTGGGTGTTAGAAAACTAGGGGATAATGATCCATTGGGTTAAAAGTTGTTGATAGAATAAGAATAGTCTTACTCTTAACCTTTATCTGTTCTTGACACACGTTTTCTGACTGGACATAAAATTTTTGATTTTTTCCCTCTTTGCTAAGAAACTAAGGATATGTTGGTGATTGAAGTTGAAGTGGATGTTGGGCTCTCCGCATGATACGCAATCCTATTTGCCCGAGCCCTCAGGCATCGCTGCACTGTCTGCCCGAGTACATTAACTTGTATCAATATCTAGTCCTCATCATCTCCACCCCAATTTTGTAGCATTTGGTGGCATTACATGATATGTGGAATCCTTCAAGTCCTTGCTTGTGTGTGTCTTCTAGGAAAGAGTTATTGTCTGTTACCTATCTCTGTTTGCAGCAGTGGAATTCTTGCTATGATCTCTCTCACTCGGGAGGGGAATCTTGTCTCCCAAGTCCTATCCCATCTTTTTGTATGGACAAAGATATGAGAGAGGAAGGGATCCTTCAGGAAGACCCCACATTTGCTTTTTTTTTTTTTTTTAATTCTTGTGATGGGGTCCTCGCCTACAGCCCACTGCAATGTTGGACACCCTGATCCTGAATCAGGTTAGTTACCCGGCACACAAGTAATGTCGTAACTTGTGCTCCTTTCCTTTTTGCATCTCTACTTAATTGCTCTGAACTTCAACTCTTTGGGGGATCTCTATCTCTTCTCAAGTAAGCCCCATAATTCATGATCAAATTTACATGGTATGAATAGATGTATATATGAACCGACAAAATTTGCACATGGGGCCTTTCTGACCGTAACCCAAAAGGTCGGTAAACAACCAGAGTCCTCACACTCACTTTGGTCGTCTGATGAACGAACTCTCACTCATCTGGAGGACCGGTTCATTGGATGGTTCCCAAAAGAAAAAAAAAAAAAAACACAAATATGGATGCGTTCGGGGTCGAAGTTAATCTGGGTTTTTTTATGAAGGGAGATTAGAAAAAAACCAGTGGCCATGCTGACGCATAAGATGCAACATCACATCCGTACAAATGTGTCTTGCTCTTATATGGTAGATCATTTGGGGGGGTAATTGGACGGGCCCACGTTCATGCAAGACACGATGAGTTGTCGTAAAATCTTAAGACCTCTTGTTTGTCTGTTTGTGTGTTTTTCTTCTTTTTCAATATCAAGGGTCTGTGGCTGTGAGGGACCGGTGAAGTAAAGAGGTTTGATTTATCTGAAGCTCAGAATCTCTCTCTCTCTCTCGGGTCTCAAGTTGCGGGGTTTTACTGTTTACCCCAGAAAGAGAGGATGATAAATAGAATCTGGGTAGAATTTTGATGAAAAGGACTGGTAATAACAGTTAATAAGTAGGGGGGGGATGTATGTTTATTGTCACAAATTAAGATGTTGGTGGCTAAAAGACAAAAGGTATGTCGTATTGGTTTTTTTTTATATGATTTACCTTTGCCCCATGTTTAATTTGTTAATTTAGGTGTACCGTGTGTTACTGTTGGTGTGTTGCCCCCATCTCTGACGGTTTCCTTAATGTTGAAAAGTGATTCTGATTGCTTATGGCTTTGTTTTGTTCGACTTTTCATCTGCACCTTTGGCGCTATCCAAACGTCCCTGTCTAATCTAATGCATGAGCCCTTCCCATCACCTCTATGGCATTAGCCCCCCCCCCCCTCCCCCCAACCAGTTCCTTTTCCTTTTCCTAGAGTTGAGTTGCTTGCTTCCATGTTCCATCCAAATCTGAATATCATGTATGTTCCTTGTTTGTTACTTGTTAGTACTCATAGTGAGTGAATTAGTACTCGTAGTTGAAGAAGATAATTCAGATTGTCAGAACTTGATATCGTTTGGCTTTATATCTCTTGATGGAATGTGATAGATAATCAGCTAATGAGGAAAATAATAAATCACTTCAGTTGATGGGTATGGATTGGGTAGGCCAACTTGTGTTTGGTGCAACACCAAACGCTCCCTATTTCTATTTTTTTTTTTAACTTTTTCTTGGCTTTTTGATTTTGATGACCAAGGCCCAAGCTTAGCTGGATATTGATGGACCGTGGATGGTTGATTTGATAATTGATACTTTCCTTTCTCCTAAGAACAGGGAATGATGTGAAGGCTTCATAGAAGTGTCAGCCCTTGATTTCATACCACAAGAAGACAGGACAGGGGGAAAAAAAGAACACCCCCCCCCCCCAACTCATCCTTAAAACAAAGAGGAAATAAGAAAGTCGGACAAATTAGTTCTTCATGACCAAAATTTGGCTCTGGATTGGAAGGGAAGAGAGGTTAAAAGATTCTTTTGGCAGATTTGTGGGTGACATCCAAAAATGACTAAATGATTGATTTATGTGACTAGCTAGGGGAAAATCAGTGATTTTGATGGGTTTGGAGAATAACTGATTCCTCCAAGAAAACATGTTTGGTGGAAATTATGTTGGGTAGGGCTCTAAATCCAGCCACATCTGAATCCAATCAAATTTAAATTTATATCCAATTGAATCTAGGTTCTTGGATAAAATTCAGATTTAATAAAGAAAGAAATAAAAAGTTAATTACTTTTGAACTTATGTAGATAGAACACATTTATATCAAACACTAAATTTATATAATCATAGTTTTTATATAGTTGAACTCCAATCTTAATGGATGTCAAACCAGGTATTTGACTTTCGGATTTTGTTGACACCCTAAATTGCTGACAGGGCAATTTCTAAAAAGCATGCAATAGTTACAATGTCATCGGTCTGCCATGTCAGAAATCAATATGAAATGAACCTCTGATTTGTGAATATGTATCTAAAGCTTTGGCATCACATCTACATCTACAGCCACACATAGAGAACATCTTGATCTATTTATTGTTGTTCAATGTTCTCAATGTGCAGACATGGTGTTATGTGCATACAGGTGTGGTCAGTGTTCTATGGTCAGCAGGTCCACACTTGAATCTTGAAGAATTGGTTAAGTTAAATGGGATTTTTTATGCAGTTTGTACAAATAGCGGATGCCACAAATATGAGTTAGAATAGACAACAATTCTTCCAAAAACACCCCAGGAATTGTTGCTACTTATTAGGGGTGTTCTTTTTTCGGATTTTGAGAGGGGGGAAAGTTGGTCAATGGGATTTTGGTTCTCATTGACCAAGAATCTCATTTTTTTTCCGGGTTTATGTGGGGACTATGGAAAGTTTATTTTCTTGGGTACTTACCCGAGTAAGTAATACCCATCTCCTAGGTGGATAAATAACTTTCCCACCTAGGGGGAAAGTTGCCAACACTTGAATGGAACAAAAATTCCATTTTTAATAATGGATTTTTGTGGTTAAAATGTTCATTGCCTTATTTACATGACAAATAAAAGAACATGTGTTAATGCACTTACCCGAGTAAGTGTTTTCCAGGAAAAACTTACCCAAGTAACTGCATTTACCTGGGTAAGTAACTTACCCATTCAACTATATTTACCCAAGTAACTTACTGAAAAGTGAACGAGGCCTTATATTAAATAAAAATTAACACATTCAATTATGATGCCGAAAAAACCTATAAGCAATCAACCAGTATTATTAAAGTAGTAACCAATCAGGTGGTATTCATCAAAATTCGCAAGGGGTTTTAATTGGTAAAAGTTTTTTTTTTCTAATACCCCAATGGCATTTTAATCATCTCTATACATGCTTCTTGGCTTCACGTCTAGATGACTATGCAAGAAATCTAATAATCTGATGAAACCCCACTCTACTTAATGAGATGAACTTTACTATCATGGAGTCTAAAATGAATCAAACCCTAAGTTTCGTTATAAATTTTGAAATCCTGCAGGTTATTTTGGTTATCATGTAGACCTGAACCTGACACGGTAAGGCTCTGAGTCTTTAGTTCAGTTTAAAATGACAATAAAATCAATAAAATATTTAGACAATAAGAGTAGATGTGAATAAATTGAGTGGGATTTGATTGGACAAGCGTCAGATGCTTCCGTGTGAATGGCTTCAAGTGGAGTTAATACAACGCTACTAATTTCGTAGAAATTGTTTGTAACTTCAGTTGTCAGGGCTTTCTTTGGACTCCTGAAACAAATGTGAAAGGTGCCAAATGACTAGTTGGTAACGTCTCCAGCTGGTTGCAGCGGAGA